CTTAGGAGTTTTAAAGGACCCAAGACTGGAAACTGGTAGAAGAAAGTGGCTGTTCCGTCTAGGTTTAGAGCGAAGTGCAGCTCATCAATAAGAAACGGTCTCTGAAACCTCCAAGGCAGTGGGTAAAATCAGGTAAGAGGCTTTGTGTGAGAAGGTGTGGAATTGCAATTTTGATCTATGTTGTCAGACTCAGCAAATAACTGGGCAATTTGGGTCATAAGCTCTTGCATGACTGTAGTAAAAACCTCAGCCGGTTAGAGCACAAACAGCCAACAATGCTAATAAGGACTCAGATGTCAAAATAGGCTCGAGAAACAGAGGGTGTGATTGCAGGCTGCAGGCAGCGAGACCATAAGTGGGTGCACAGCAAGCAGTGACAGAGCCATTAGTAGAGTGTGAACTAGGGGCACCTGTTACAGTTGGATTCAACTATTTCCCCCACAATGGATCTGTGATTCCGGAGAAGGGCTCAGTGGTATTACCGCCACATGGCGGCTGTGTGTGGAAGTCTTTTCAGGGCTTGGAGCAGTGGGTACCTAAGGAAGTATTCTTCACAAATGTATGTGACATTTTCTCCAATTATTTCTATAACAACATTTTACATAAGCTTGTGGCCATACAATACTTCCTTATAGGTAATCCTAATAAAGAGCAAACAACGTTTGATAGGTTGCGCTCATTTAAAAGTTTTAATTATTTATTGTGCATGGCTACTTATGTTTTGGGTTTAGTGGCTCTCAAATTCCAGCTGAAGTCTCGGCCCAAGCAAACTAAATTTTCTACGCCTTGTCCATTTTATTTTATTAATCCCCTCCCAGCTGAAAATCCTATTACCTCATAGTAATGTGCAATAGGCTGCTGTGCCAGAGCAAGACAAAAATTATGAGTGCAGCGCTAATCAGTATCTAATAGAACCGTAATACAATATACTCAATCCCCAAAATAAATCCAAGATACTCAATACATATACAGTGTCATGCATGTATTCCCTCATGGGGAATATCTAGTGCAAAAACGTGAAAATAAAGTAATATATACTATAATAACATATAGTATAGATATTTTCTAGAGAGTGATCCATACTGATAGGATCGTGTGATCCTGAAAGCGTGCTGGCCCCTTGGGGTCTAAGGAAGGAGGTGAGGGGGCATTTTGGCTGTTAAGGATTGTCACGTGTGCATCACGTACACTGCACATAATTTTGCATGAAGAGTGGAGTGTGAAGTTCATCATTAAGCACAGCATCATCAGTATTATTATTATTAACTTTGGACTTTTCTCGTATTTGAACGATCGTTTATTCCTTTGTGCACTTTTTGTGTGGCACTGTTTATTATTAGTATATATGTTATTATAGTATATATTACTTTATTTTCACGTTTTTGCACGAGATATTCCCTATGAGGGAATACATGCATGACACTGTATATGTATTGAGTATCTTGGATTTATTTTGGGGATTGAGTATATTGTATTACGGTTCTATTAGATACTGATTAGCGCTGCACTCATAATTTTTGCACTGTTTATTCACTTATTTTGGGTATAAGCTTAGTGTCAGCAGCTTATGGTTATAGGGTAGGAGTCCTTGTGAGCGCAGGAGGTTTTTTGTAATTATCTTTGTGCCAGAGCAAGAGTATCTCTCAATCACCCATTATACTGACACCCCCTGCAGTGTCAGACCCAAACTTATCCAATCAGAAATGCTTACTCATCTCAGCAAGTTGTGCTTATTGGATACTGTAGAAGGCTGTCTTCGCTAAACTCCTTCTGGAAATGCTGGCTTCCCCATCATGCTTATGGCAGATAGGAACTAATGACATTTCCATTACCTTTCTGATCTTCTTATTGCCAGAGGATCACCAGAACAGCCAGGTAACTCGCATTTTAAACACAGGCTTTACCAGTTATTTTTCTCATGACAGGTTTACTTTCAAGTTTGGCATGTACTTTACATGCGTACAATCAAGGGCAATTCAGTAGCTTTTTCTACTTACTTATGCCAAGAATGAAATGCAAACATACTCTAACCCGATAACTGTGTGCATTTCTTTAAATCAGTACTCCAGCCTTACCTTCTGTCTTTCACAGTTGCTCTCCTGAAATTGCTTACTCTAAGCTTTTCACACCGTGCATTAGAAGGTGCACCAAGTCAGACAGTCAGCCTCATTCTCTGCCTGACCAACTTTCAGCATCCTCTAGTCTTTTCCTCCTCATCTAACTATGCCTGGTCCGCTCCTTTCAATTATTGGATTCAAGTTTATTTAGTCATGGAGGCTGAACATCACACATGGGCAATACCTAGTGCACTCTGTATGAAAACAATCTGCTGAGGACTGCCGACACCTCTAGATTGACATTCACCTATCAAGGCATTTTTCTAATATCATAATATTCCAAGACTGCCAACTGCTTGCATCAGGGCTGAGGGCTATCCGGGTGAGTCCTGCGACAGTGGTCTGTATGTGTTTTTGTTTCCTTTTTTAGGAAGCCATTTACAGAATCCTGCTGGCCCCTTTCCATCAGCTGTGATCTGTCCGCTTTGGTGTCTTATTTTTGACACCAGGTCAAAAATAACATATGCAAAGGAAATGGAAAGGCATTTTTTAATTTTCATTAGTATGCTGATAAGGGGAGGAAAAGGAGGAACCAGAGAAGGCAACATATAAATAGAAAAACTTCAGCTTTAAAGCCTCAGCGATTCCACCTTTGGCTGCAGCACTTCAGCCTAATAAATTGTATATGCTTTTTGGCAGCCTACCAAGTGATTGCATTAAAAATGAAGCATGAGAGCAGATACGGTAACACCACCAAATACTAGGAGTAACCAGTAGGTGACTTAATCACTTTCTGTGCTCCTAAAAACTCAATAAACAAACTATTTCCTCAACTTGACAGATTGGCAATTTAGGAGCTGGAAAAATCCTTCTAGTGTCAGGGCTGTAATGTCAGTACTATCTAGTGAAAAGAATGGCTACAGTATAGAACACAGAATGCCATTAGCAGGTGATACCTCTAACTTTAGGAATGCCTAACAATAACAAGGGCACTGCATAACCAAGACATTTTAAGAACTACACCATCAACCAAACATAAATCCTTATTTTATATTATTCTGGTAGTATACGCTGTAATGCGAGGAGACTCTACCAGAACAAACAAGAACGAACTCTGAACATATTCAATGTGAGCTCTATCAATGATCTGCTTCCAATGTAACACTCTGTACAGGGTTGGTTATCCAGAAGAATACTAATTATGTATCCATCAACCAAGTAGTCACATCTATGTAATCTAAAATAATGTCTACCTGAGAGTAATTTATAAATGTAAACCCCTCTCCTTGTTTTCTTTTAAGAAAAGATGCTGTCATTTTATTTCAGCAAGATGCTGCTGAAACCTCGAGATTGTTATCTGGAGAAAACAAGCATACATTAAAACAATAAATAATTCCTACAGCATAGACATACCCCACAGGGTTTCCTCAATGTATCGATAAAGAAAATATGCCTCAGTGTTTATACAAAAGGAGAGAATGACTATTCTCAAAGCTAACTATGATGTTTACCTGTTCAGCAGTTTATGATTAAAAAATAAGCAAAAAAAAAAAAAAAAGAACTGATACACCTAAACTCTTACCATTCTCATGCTTTAAGTGCTTCCATATCTAATATTTAAGTGCTTCCATTAGAAAAATAGAGAATATTTACATTTAGTTAAACAAAATCTTAAATACAAAGAAGAGAAGATGTAAACAGAACATGGGAGATGAAAGATTGCTAATCTTTATAAAGGGCAACTTGGTGCAAATAAAAACTGGATAGTATATCAGCTGTGATTAAAGATTTAGAGGATGCTTTGAAATGTGGTGGTGACTGGGAGCTCTACAGCCCCACTTAGTGTCATCAGCTCACCCCCATTCTTGAAAACAGAATAGCTATTTTTAAAAGAGCAGATATTTTTCTTCAATGCATGGTTTTACAATAAATATACTTTTCCTGCAAGACAGGAGACCCAGACTGTTCTTGCATTTTTCCCAATTGCTAATACTATTCAAATGTCTTCCTCTTCTGTGCAAAACCTAAAATAGCAGGTTAAAAAAACGTTACAAGTGTGCCACACTTAAACTTTGTCAGCACATGGTAGCTCAGGGAGTGTTATCTCTCCATTGATTTGGCCTCTACATTAAAACATTCAGCATATTTCTTATTAGGACCATAACATTATCTGTTTTATTGTATACAAATATGGAAGCGAAGATAATACAAGTCACGGCTAGCTAATGCCCCCCAAAAATATTAGAGTTCCGGAACAGTTAGGGCGAGCCACTCTTTCTGGCACCACTGCCTGCTTGATTTACCTGAACCTATATCATTGAAGAGTGTTGCCTGCATTTGCTTCTTTGTGTTAGTATGGTAAGAACGTCCTTTCTGGAAACCTCAGTGGTGTTACTTTGATCTCCTGTCTGCTAAAACTGCATAGACTCACCAGATGTAAAAATCTCAGGACAAGATGGGTGAAAAAAAAGACGTGGAGACTTGTTCACTGAAGTGCAGCTCTTATCACCTCTGCAACACTTATATAAAAAGTCCCTAATATAAATAGGCCCATCAGCAGTCTATCAGAACTGACTTTTTTCATTTTTGTTTTTGTTTGTAACAGTGCCATGCAATGTTGGATACGAGCAATAAAAGATAAAAAAAAAAAAAAAACTACTAACCATAAGGTATTTACTGCTAGGTGGTAGCAAAGCAGTACACAAACACAAATCTTCACTGTATAGTGGACTATAAGACGGTCAGGTGTTGCGTGTGGACACTATTATACAGCATTGCATTGTTTTTACTGGTGATAAACCTAAAGTGTCTTGCATCCTTAACCACTTGGGAGTGAAATGAAGCAATGGATAGTGACTGAGGTGGTAGGTTTGGCATTGATAAATGGTTCTGCAAATCTTGAGGGTGCTCAATTTCCACCTTTTCGTACATGTAGGAAGGTTTCTAGTTGAGAAACTTGCGGCATTTCTTGGTTCCACAGTTGCAAGCTAGTTTGTTACTAGCGTCTTCAATAGGGAACTTGTAGTCATATGTGAGCTCCTCACCACGATATATTTTCCGCATCGCAAATATAACTATGTGTTTCTGTCCATCAATGGGGATGACACGGGAGTAACAGTTGGGCTCACACGAGTGGTTGATGAAGCGAGCAGCATTGCCATGCATAGTGGCATCAACAACCTCAGAGTCATCTATGCGGAACATGTAGCAACCGATTCCCTACAACAGAAAGTAATTGTTAAGTGTCAAGGAGCTATGTATGGTCATTTGACTAATACAACGGATAAACCCAAAAACAACAAATCTGCTTTTGGCTTCTCACCTTTCCATCATAATACTTTTCTCTTTTGTCAGTCAAAGTGGAACGGATAACATTTCCTGAGTACTCTATTACCATCTCCCCGGCATCAATTGTCCTCTTGCAGAAAAGACCCCGACCATGTATTGGAGATCTGAGAAGAAAGCATTTTTTTTTTTCATACAAAGCATGCAGCTCTGATGAGATAAGTATTTATACTGCAACACAAAATGTGTGTCCTGGTTCACTGCAGCCTCAATGGTTGCCCAAGAGCATTTAGCTTAAAGTGGACTTTTAGTCAAAAAATTAAGTCCTGCTAGATCACTTCAGGCTGGCGCCCTTCGCTGATATATGTAAAACATTAAAAATATGTGCCCATACTGTTTAAAATCTAGTAATACACTGTCTCACCCTACTTTGCACATGATAAGTTGATTTCTATTTTAGGCACTGCCAAAAATGTAGAGGTCAATGTGCTAACAGCCTAAAGATTTACTGCTGCTTAAGGGCTCTGGACTTCAGCAAAATAGCAACCTCCAGCAAAAAGAAACAGGAGCAATGTTGGAGGCAATTTACAGCACAAACTCATTTTGGTAGAATAATTTTTAAAGTGGAATGATGTACTGTATGTTCCTTGCTAAAGAGCATTATTTTTTTATCAAGTTGTTATGGGTAAAGTTCTGCTTTAATATTTTAAGTGCATCTGCACCCAGACTATGGACAGCAATTTATTTACATACTCCTAACAAGCAGTAAAGGAGCTTTAACACAAGCCATCCCAAACCTCACTCTAGCTGCATGTACTGCAAAGTAAATAATTCTCAAAAATCACAACAAAGATTGGAAAGTCAGATTTTAATTGCTTTCCAACAGTCTGGAAACACTGTGTGTTCCATTAGATGGCTGGCAGGTTGCCAAGATGCTGCTGCAACAGAATGTAATAGAAGCATACAATGGGTATATAAAAAAGAATCATCCCCTTTTAATAATCACATTTTGTTGCTTTGCAGCCTGAAATGAAGACAGGCACAGTTTTTGTTTTATCCAGCTGTATTTACTCAGTGCAACTTATAACATCCAAGCGAATGATATAACACCAACATGTCAGAGAAAAAATTCAAAAACAGAATCACTGAGTTGGTAAAAGGATCACTCCCTTGTGTCAGTATTTTGTTGAACCACCTTTTGCTTTAATTCCAGCCTTTAGTCTATTGGGATATTTATGATGACACACAAATCTAGTTTTCTACTCCTCACCTCACCACTTCAGTCTTCTCTCACATTACTAACCTACTAAGTGACATATCGGCGTGGATGTCACTCCACTTCCTCAAGCTCAATCTTTCTAAAACGGAGCTCATACTCATCCTTCCAGCCCGTGCCCCCTCCCCCTGACTTCTCCATCAAGATCAGTAATACAACCATCAGTCCCTCCCCTCATGCCAGAGTACTAGGTGCAATCCTAGATTCCCATCTGTCTTTTCAGCCCTAAATTCAATCACTGTCCAAATCTTGTAGACTTCACCTTTGAAACATCTCCAAGATATGCCCGTTCTTAACCTTTGAAACTACTAAGCAACTTATTCACTCCCTTGTTATCTCTCGCCTTGACTATTTTAACTCCTCCTCCCCTCTTCAGTCGATCATGAATGCTGCTGCCAGACTCATCCACCTTACTAACCATTCCATATCTGCCACCCCTCTTTGCCAAGCCCTCCACTGGCTTCCCATTGCCCAATGAATAGAAGTCAAAACATTAACAATAACATTTAAAACCATTTATAACTCTGCCCCAAATTACATCACCAATCTTGTCTCCAAATATCACCCAAACCATCCTTTCTGCTCCTCCCATGACCTCCTGCTCTCTAGCTCCCTTGTCTCTTCCTCCCATGCTCATCTCCAGAGCCTTCCCCATCCTCTGGAATTGTCTACCTCAATCTATCAGACTATCACCTACTCTGCCCTCTTTTAGGTGATCCCTGAAAACCTCTCTCTTCAGGGAAGCCTATCCTGCCTTCAGCTAATAAAGGAATCTCCTATTCCTTCTACCAGTCCATCCCCCACAGTTATTACCTTTTGTACAACCAGCCCCTTGCTCTTAGATTATAAGTTCCAAGGAGCAGGGCCCTCTATTGTTGCTGTATTGTCTCCCTTTATTTTGTAAAGTGCTGAGCAAACTGTTGGCGCTATATAAATCCTGTATAATAATATTTCTCTACTAACTTTGCACATCCAGACTTTGCAATATTTGCCCACTTTTCTTTGCAGAACTGCTCAAGTTCAGTTAAATTTGGTGGTGATCGTTTGTAGACTGCAGTCTTCAAGTTATTTCACACATTTTCAATGGGGTTTAAGTCTGGGCTTTGACTAGGCCATGGTATGGTCATTGTTGCTGTGTGCTTTGGGTCATTGTCATGTTGGAAGGTAAACTTTCCTCCCATCGACAACTTTCTGGGAGAGGGAAGCAGATTTTACCCAAGAATTTAACAGTGTTTTGCTCCATCCATTTTTCCTTCTATCCTGATAAGTTCTCCACTCGCTGCTGCAGAGAACCCCCCCATAACAGGTTATTACCACCTCCATGTTTTACTGTAGGAATTGTGTTATTTGGATGGTAAGCTGTATTGGATTTTTGCCAGCCTTATCATTTAGTGTTGAGACCAAATATTTAAATTTTAGTCTCATCTAACGACAACACCTTTTTCCCATGTGGCCTCAGAATCTTCAAGTTGTGTTTTGGCAAAGCTCAGCTGTGACTGCAGCACATACTTCATAACCGCTTCCTTGATCCGGAAAAAATGAGGCTTGACGATGACATCCCTGGGAGGCCCCCCCTGCCGAGGGGGGATCAATGCTCTATGGATACGATCTATCTCAAGATGAAGGTCATCAATATCAGGCAAAGCAGACCACATGAGAGTTTGTGTGCAGCTAGTGAGCTCCTTAACCGACTCAGGGAGACCTCGAATGCGAAAATTGTATCGCCTGGCCCGATTCTCCAAATCATCAATTTTAGAATATGCTTCCTCCAGGCGATCTTGCAAATCGGTAATCATGTTGGAATTTTGAGAGACACTATGGGCTGTCAGATCAACTTTAGCCTCGATACTGTCCAAGCGTTGGCCCAGGGCCTGGAAATCCTGCTTAAGGTCAGCCGCCAACTTTGAGGTAGCTCTATCTAGTTCGCATTGCAGCAAATCTGCGAACTGAGCTATCAGGGTCACGTCACCTGAATATTGTGGCAGGTCTGGAGGGCTGTCATCTGCGGGCTCTGGACCGCTATTCTGGCTGGAGAAGATGGCAGCGATCTCGCCACTCAGTGGCGAGGAGACAGGGGAGTCACGGCCTAAGGAACAGGCAGAAGCCTGGGACTCTGGTGCTACAGGGCTGGAAGGTGACCGGAGGGGCTGCAGGGGGTCACTCACCCCAGCCAGTGATGCTGGCACAGTCCTCCTCGATCCTGGTGGGGATGAAGTGCCTGATTTTCCCCCCTGGGGGAGAAGTGCTGCTGTGGAAGAGGCAGAGGAGGTGACAGAAGCCACGGGCGCCGATCCGGGCACCATCTTGGGCCTCCCAGTCCCCGCAGGGAGCAGCATCTGGGAGCCTCCACGACTCTTCCCCGCTGCCTTTCCCGGCATCATGCGGGTGTCTGAGGCGCCGGAGGTGTGCGGAGCTATCGCCGGGACTTCCGATCCCGGCGGCCGCGCATGCGTCCTTGATAACTGTGATTTTAGTAGAGTTAATCTTTATATCACTCATTCTGTCCCTGCTCCACTGAAATGTTCGCTGCATGTACTCCGGTGGGGGGGAAGGGGGATTCGGGCATGGTGGTGGAGTTAGCCCTATAAAAAAGGTTACTCTACAAAAAATAAAGATACAGGATAACCTAAATATAACATAAAAGGCAAAAAAGAGCAACGTTCTTATGGAACAACCAAAAGAATTTTGAAAAGATGGCTGGAAAAAAACAAATCATCTGACCAATCCATGCTGACTTTTTATATCGGAAAGTAAATTGCTGAATATTCAATGATATATAGTACATTCACAAATAAAGTGGTTATCTACCTGTAGACACCTACTGCCTCTTTGGATGTCTTCTTAAGATGACGAAATCTCATTGGCATAGGCAGGTCCATACTGGTGGCCCTCCTATAAAAAAAAATTAAATGTGTTAATTACTGCAATAACTTCAATAAGTTAAATTAATATCTAAACTTTGCACTTTACAAATCCCCTACTGCTAAATATGGCTAACACTCACTGAAATACAGAAAAAAAAATCCAGTACACCTGTGCAAACATACCACACTTGCTGGACTCATACAAAGATCTATGAAAGCTGACTTTCCTGCAACCCATCCAATGTGAATAGTCTGTGCTGGTCCCCTTTAGCTGCTAGATTGCACTATGCATATAGCAATAATAAGATATGCTATACAAAGAGAAGTAATTGATAAAGAGCTGCATTGGGTGTTATAATTTACATCATGCCTACCCTTTCTACCAAAGAAGATATGCATAATCAACAAATTACTCAAATATGCCATGTAACTCCTCTGCCTGAATCCAAATTTCCTCTTTAAAAGCACAGCTATGGACCATTCACTTGCAAAGATAATTATAACTGAAGAAATTAGGATGCTTCAGCACTTTGAGCATAAAATAAACAGACACTACCTAACAGATTTCAGCTGCACCTCTTCCTCATCCTCTTCATTTGGTTTATATTCTGGAGGTTGCCGATGTTTTGAAGCCAAGAAGTTAAACATGTCAAAAGTGGATTTCCTGGAAAAACAGAGGAATTATTAAAGCAGCAATTAATTCACACCTTGCTAGACAGGAAAAGCAAAATTAAAAAAAAGGGAAACCGATGGAAAAGAAAAATTACTTATGTCTACTAAACACATTTTCTATTGTTATTCTAGACATTTTCACATATAAAAAAAGCATTTCTGAATTTACCATAACAACCAATTTTTGGAGCACAGGAAACAAGATGTATTATTCTGGCAAAGACTTATGCTGCTACCTTCAGGATTGGATATTGGAAAACAAATCTGGTAAGGACAGCTCAGTATAACCCATTTAACTCTCACAGTGGCTAAATGGTTAGCACTTCCGCCTGGCAGTACTCGGGTCGTTGGTTCGAATCCCAACCATGGCACCACCTGCCTGGAGTTTGCATGTTCTCCCTCTGCATGCGTGGGTTTTTCCTCCGAGTACTCCGGTTTCCTCCCACACTCCAAAGACATGGATTGAATTGCATTAATTGGACCCTGTCTAAAATTGTCCATAGTATGTGTATGTATGAATTTGAGTTAGGGACTTTAGATTGTATGCCCCTTGAGGGTTAGGGACTGATGTGAATGTAAAATATATATATATGTAAAGCGCTGCGTAAATTGACGGCGCTATATAAGTACCTGAAATAAATAAACTAGAGCGGAGGGACCAATGTTCCTTTAATGTACTGAAAGAAAAGTACAAAATTTGTGTTTCGGCCAACATGGACTACTCATACTGGGATGTGCACAGCAGTCATGGCTGCAATGTAAATGTCTGCTAAGTTAGATTTAGACATGCTTCTCTTTAAGCAGTGAAACTTCTGGTTGCTTCCTGAAAGTTGATGTAAACCATGGCATTGCCTAACTTAATCCTGGTAGGATGATCTCACAGATGAGAGTGATAATGTAAACCATGGTTATGGCATTCTCTGACTTAATCCTGGTAGGTTGACCTTACAGGCAAGAGCTTTAAAGGGATAACAATCACCTTGAGCTCAAGATGATTGATTGGGGGGACAAGCTTTCCCCATCCAGACAGGCTGGCTTCTGTCACAAGACCCTAACTTTAGCACTGGACTTGTGACCTACCATGCCAGGGCAAACTTGGTTTTACTGGTCAGACATACGGAGATGGTCTAGAAACTGTGCCCTTTTGTTCCACGCTGACAAAATGTTGAGTTGCAAAGGTCTGTATTGAAATGCAGCATATAGTACTGCCTTGAAGGAGACCACTATTAAGCCCAGAAGACTCAAACAAAAGCGGCGGTTTGGCTTCTGGACTGTAGAGCTCTAAACATGGGTTCACAAAGTTTGGGGTTTGTCCAGGATGACGAAGACCTTGGGACAGGATCATATCCAAAACCAGGCCCAGATACTCCAAACAATGAGACAGCTCCAGCACCAGTTTCTGGAGATTTAGGATCCACTGTAGGTCTGCACAGTCCATTGGCCATTAGCTGACAAAGCCAACTATTAACACCTTAGTTAATACTGGAGGTGCAGCAGACAGGCAACAAACTGGTAATGTTGGGTTCCCACAACAAAATGCAGAATACCTTGGGAAGATGGGGAGATGCAAGTAGGCATCCTTGATATCCACAATGGACAGAAGGTATCCTAGAGGGAAGTAAAGGCTCACTGGTAGATTTCATGTGGAATATTTGTACTTTGAGGAAAGTGTTGAAAACCTTTAGATCCAGCATGAAGCTAATGCCACCCTTGGCCTTGGGGACAATGAACAGGTTTGAGTAGAAACCTTGGAACCTCTCTTTTTCCGGTACAATGGTCATGATTCCTTGGGAGAGGAGCTGCCACAGCAGTATGAAGGTCCAACAATCTCCAAGTGGGAGCCCCCAGTCATTGTAAATATGATTTGCTCAAGGATTTGGAGAACTTGGGGGTCCAAGACTTTTGGTGAATTTTAAGGTGAAAGCTTTCTTATTCAAAAGGCAAAAGAATACTCATCCGCCCCGGCAACCTCCTTAAAACGTTGTCCACGGATTCACCAAAAAGGCTTCCCCATCACAGAGCATATGCAAGAGGCTTTGCTTACCAACATTTGAATGAAAAGACCCACACATGTATGAGAATATCTGTTAGCCCCTCAACACAAAAGAGTAAGGCTACAGGAATAAGCTTCAGCTGTTGCAGGACAGAAGGATCCTTTAGAACAGATCAATCATCCCTTGTCTGGACATAACCTTGGACTAGGCAACTAAGGTCTGGCAGACAGACCTAGTTGCAATGGCAGGTTGGAGAGCAAGATCTGTAAGGGCATAAGGCCTTAAGCTAAGGCTTCTAGCCTTTTTTACACTGGGTTCTAAAACAAATGGATGTCCTCAACAAGAAATGTTAGTCTTGTTAAGAAATGGAAGGGAACTATGCACTTTTTTTTCAGGAACCCCTCTTCAACAGATTATTGCTGGGCAAATTGTTTTGAAGGAGCAAAGACTTATATGGGTTAGGCCAATTACTATTTAAGAGATGTTGCAATAGGGAATGCACTGGAAAAGTCCAGACAGGCTGAAGGCTTAATATAGAACCTAGGCTGGAGAATTTAGGCGTACCTAATACAGGCAGCTCCAAGTCTAGGCATGTGTGGACTTAAGTTTTGAAGTTATATCTGCAGACTAAGCTTCTTGTACCAACAAATCACAAAGATAAGATGCAACCCTCCTTGTCCTAAGCAGACTGTGCAGAAGCAAATGCAACTCCAGGCAATCACAGACTGACTCTGGAGGAAAGGGTGTGGAAGCAGCACCGGCATTCTAAGTAAGCTATCATGGCTGCATTTCCCCCCATAAACACAGATACAGTAGCTAAAAATTCCTACCTAGATAGAATCAAGGAAAGAGTTACCCCTGAAGGGATCAGGTAAGACTCTGAGAAATACTGTGGCTCAAGGCAGGGACAGTGGTCAGTGTTATATGTGTCAGGACCCCTATAAAGGACACTGAAAGACTGGTGGTCAGTGTGCTTAGGATCTGCCATACTAAGCATACAATGAGGGATTGACCACAAGGGTACAAACTCACGAAAAAAAAAAAGTTGCTTGAGCAGGAAGAGTTAATGCTGTCTGTGAATGTCCTGCATCATGATGTGAATGTGGCTGAAGGAGACGGAAGTAAAAGCTAAGCTTGTCCGTGTGCACTCTGTAAAAATGGCATGAGCATGGTAAGTACAATTAACTTGAACAGAGGCTATGCAGACTCAGTAGGGGTGCATGGGTAGTAAAGCGCTGTGTAAGCTGCTGCCCGTGCTCTGGTATTACCCATTAGGGGACAGACTGGGACATAGAAAAGCACACATCATGCTCCAGGGCACACATCATGTTCCAGGGCAAACGCTCAGACCTAGGGTGATCCAAAGACCCATTGGCCCTCCAAACATAACAGTCTAGAGCAATTTTTAATCAATTTGAGCTCCAGGATGTTGATGGGGAGCTATTATTTATTGGGTGGCCATGTTCCCTGAACTGTGAGAAATTGTAACACAACTCCCTAGCCTGGGAAGTCAGTATCTATTGCTATCACTTTTCATTGGTAAGGTGGGAATTACTTCCCTATTGTCAAGGCTGGGTTGGAAATCCACCATGCTAGGGGGTTTCTTGCTTTGCTGAATAGAAACACTGGGAAGATGAGAGAAGGGGGCATGTTTAGAGAGGCCTTGAATGGTATTAAGTGAAAGGAATAGCCTCAGAGGAGGCTACCATGAGACACAGAACTCTCAGAAGGAGAGGGATGTCTATTTGACTTTAAGGTTCGGAGTGTGAGATGAAAGTGGCCATCTTGTTTTCTGGAAGAAAGACTTTTGCTTTGGCTTTGTCTAGAATGAGGCCCAAGAATTCCAGGCAAATGGAAGGTCGGAGAGTGGATTTTTGAAATTTGATTATCCAACGAAAAGCCTAAAGAATGTGAATAGTCCCTGTGTATGTTTGCAGATAGTTTAAAGGAAGAGGAGTCCTTCAGAGGAAATATTGTCTAGATATCCAGTGACCTGAATGTCCTGAGTGTTAGTAAAGTCTGTTTTTTTACTTGTATCTACAGGTAAGCCTATAATAAGTCTTACCTGTAGATACTGTAAACATCTCCTCAACGTGCACCGTTTAGGAGATATTTACTTGTGTGGCAGAATCGGTGCATGCACTCTGAAGGAACAGCATGCCTGTGCCACTCCTTCAGAGCGGTGTACCATAAAAAGTGACTCCTGCGCGCATGTGTGGGAGTGACGTCATCTAGGCTCGGCAATTCAAGCTGCCGAAGCCCATGAACCCAGAACAAGGACCAGGTGAAGATGGAAGCTCGGTGACAGCACGCCACTGGAGGGCTTAGTTTTAAGGTAAGTTTCACATAATGTGCCAAGCTACGCTGTGTGTGGCAATAGATACACTGGCTTGGAAGGGGAGGGAATAACCAGGAGTGCCAGTGGGGGACCAGAAATGAGGAGAATCGGGGGCTGCTCTGTGCAAAAACATTGCACAGAACAGGTAAGTAGAACATGTTTGTTATTTTTTTAAAATAAAACATGATCCTTTACAATCAATCACTTTAAGAGAAGAAAGCAGTAAGGGAGGGGGAGGGGTGCGCGGCGTATGATTGACTCCAACCTTGTTGGAGTCAATCAACCTCTCACATATCTTTGTGGCCTGGTTAAAATGTCCTCCCACCTCCCATTCCTACCCACTCTCTCCCTCACCCTTCGTCTTTTTATTTTCTCTTTCATCTCTTTTCTTTCTATTCTAGATCTTTTTCTTTTCCGTATTGTGTTTGACTTTTATTGGGTAACACACACAGATTTGCATTTGGGCAGTGAGAACAACAAGCTTTGAGAAAAAACATTAGCAGAGCTTTCAGCTTCAGTTTGTGAATGTTGAACACAGATCTGAAATATGTGAAATATGCCTTTCTGCAATCACAAACTGGCCATGCAGCTAAAAAGCTGGCCACACGCCATACACCTATCAGGTTTTTTTTTTGTTTTTTTTTAATCAGTCCTGATCAG